TGGGTTTTTTTAGCTTCGAATTACAGAAAGGGTACAATTTGGGGGGGGAAGGGAGGGAAAGGCCAAGGGAAAAAATGAAACCCAAAATACAGGAAAGGGGACAAAAACGGGGAAAAAAGGAACTTCCTGAACGAGGTTAAAAGGGGAAAAGAGAAAAGGCAGGGAAGCCATTTTAAAGAGAAAGAAAAAAATAGGGAGCAACAAAGCAAGGAGGCTAAAGAAGGTTTGTACCCCCAAAGGGAAAAAGGAATAATAAAAAAAAACCAGAATGACCCAAGGTTTTAACCCCCAAAAGGGGGCAAGGAGGGATAAAAACCCAAATGTGCTAGGAAGGAAGAAATAAAAAGGGAAAGGCCCTGGAGAATAAGGAGAGCGTCGAAACCAGAAACGAAAATGCACAGATAAGAAGGGAGGCCCAACACAATATGAAAACGACATAGCAAACGAAAGCCAAAAATGACCTGAAACGTTTTACAGCCCCATCAGGAGAAAACAACAGTCAAGGACCCCCGTTAAAACAGGCTAAGGAAGGAAGGGGGAAAAAACAACAAGAAATGGGCCGTGAAAGTAATTTTAGGAACTCAACAAGAGATTCAAAAAAAGTGTTTTAAAAGGGAGCAAAAAGGGGCCTCCAGAGGGACGGAGAGGGGTGGCACATCACCCGGTGCTGGGAAAGGTACACACAAGCGAGGAAGAAGTGAAGAGGCCTTTGAGGAGGGTAGATTTCCTCAAAAAGGGAATGGGGGGCCCAATTTAAAAACTCTCCATGGGTCCCCAGAGAGGGAGCAGGGCCCCAATATGTACCATTAACAACAATTTTTCAATACATCTAACGAAAAAAGGGAGAATTTGGGCCCGAGGCATGGAAGACAGCCCAAAAGTAATCCCAATCTTTTAAAAAGGAGACAGACAGAAGCACTAAACTACAGACCCTTGGGCCCCGCCCTGTATAATTTTGCAAAGTCATTTGGGGAAAAATTGTCGGAAAAAAGTGGTGAAACACCTAGAAAAGGGAAAGATCTCATCAACAGCACCCCCAAAATGGGTTTTAGGACGGGGGCCCCCGTGCCCCAAAACCCCTGGAAATTCTATGACAAGGTACACCCTAAAACAAGAGAGAGAGAGGGGTGGGTGGGTTGCATGTTCTTGGACTGCAAAACGTTTGACAACATTTTCCAAAACAAGAGATTATGCAAAAACCCGGGGGACCAATCATGGAAAACCCGGGAAAGGCACTAAAAAATTGGGAATTTTAGGGGGAAAAAAAAAATTTTCCCGGAAAACACACGAGTAATGGGACGTTTGGGGGGGGAGTTTTCAAGGGGCACCTGTGGCCAGCGGGGGGCCCCCAGGGTCAGTCCTAGGCCCCGTGCTGTTTCTGTAATTTTTTTGAACGAAAAATGACAGAAGGAATAAAAATCTGAAAGGGGCCCTGTTTGAAGATGGGCATGAAGTTAAAGAGAAGAATTTAAATTTTTGATCGAAGACCCGGCAAACTACAAATGGATCCCGGACAGGCCCGCAGCCCCGGGCCACAATTGGGTACTAGAGTTTAATCCCCCCAAGTGCAAAGTCATGAAGATTGAGGAAGGGGAAAGAAACCGCAGACCGGGGTTTCAGTCTAGGGGGCCCCCAGACTACAAACCCACTCAAGGAAAAAAATCTTGGGGGGGAGAAAAAAACCAACACCCTCTCCTGACACAAAAACACATACACAAACACATTCACAAACATAAACACACACACACATAAACACATACCCCAAAAACAAATACACACACAAAACAATTTCACACGCCCTACACACACAAAACACCGGCCACCCCAAAAACCAAAATACAACACACAACACAAACACACACACAAAACCCCCACACACACACACCACACACACACACACACCACACACACACCCCACAAAAACACAAACACACGCACACACACCACATACACAAAACGCACATAAAAAACTACACAACCCCACACCACATAAAACACACACACCCCACACATACACACACACACGCAAAAACAACACACACACACAACACAAAAAACAAAACACAACAACAACCCCACATGCACAAAACACACCCACAAAAAAACATACACACACAACCCCACACACACACACATACACAAACACACCACACACACACACCCACACACACATCCACAACACATACAAAACCAAAAACATACACAAAAAAAAAAACACACACACACACAACCCCACACACACACACAACCCCACACCCAAAACACACACACACACACCCCCCACCCCAAAAAGCATTTGAGAAGGAAGAGGTAAAGTAAAAAAAAGGAAACCCCGGAAAAAAAAAGTAGATCGTCGAAAAAGCCAGAAACGAATAAACACAGGGTAAGGAGGGAAAGGGCCCCGGCCCGTACAAAAATAAAACAGCATTGAAAGTTCCCAAATCCCGGGCCCCCAAAAATGCTGTTTTTGGCCCCCATTAGGGGAAAGACAACCCGTCAAAGACCAGGTGAAGGCGAGGAAAAATAGGGAGGGAAACTCACAAGAAACGATCAAGAGGTATGCGAGGAGCTCAAAACGAATTAAGGGAAGTTTTTCCCAAAGCCCAGACTTTTGGAAGACAGAACAAGTTGGACCCCAACAGGGAATACACCAACAATGCTGGGATGACATACACCAAGAGAGGAGGTGAAAGCAATGGGAGGGACATCTTTCCATGGGTCCTTAAGAGGGAGCAGAATGCTGTGTTCCCTTTAACCCACCCCCAAAACAACCTTCACACCCCTTGAAAAGGGCAACTACCAGGTACTGAAGCGGCATACTTTAGATCACAGCCATAATCTTGTAGGCGGTGGTCTGGGGGCAAAGTGTCATGTGTTTCTGGCTCCCCATGAGGGGGGCCCAGTACAACATGATTTCGAGTCCTTGGCTAGTACAGTTGTTATTGATAATACAGTCTTTCGGGCCAGTGCTGTTGGAGTGTGAGCAAAGTAACATCATGAAGGGATTCAGGGAAACCGGAAAGGCCGACTTGAGCCTGGGATGGAAGTACAGTGTCTGCACTCTGAAGGAGGCGTGTTAATGTTGCAGTTTAAAAACGTATGTAAAGCACCCTCTGGCAAAGACAGTGAGGGAGTGAATATGGTGAAAGTTTTCTTTTTCGGGCCACCCTGCCTTGGTGGGAATCGGCCAGTGTGATAATAATAAAAAAATAATAATAATATATTTATCTGTCTATCTCCTCTCTCTCTCTCTCTCTCTCTCTTCCTCTCTCTCTGCATATATATATAAAATATAATATATATATATATTAATATAATATTATATATATATATATACTGATCTCTGGTGAAGGAGATCGAACCTACAAACCCTTAGGACAAGGTCGCGGGTGCTTTACCAATCTACCCACACTGGACACTCCCTTGGCGTGTAGCTTGCGCTACACGTTTGATCCAAGGCAGCCAGCTTTCAGGGAGAAGGCTTACAGCTTTTCATCTCATCCCCTGCATGCATCAGCCTTACTAGTGATTTGAACAATGCAAGGAATTCGCAAGAGCAGGCGAAATATACACACTGATCTCTGGCTGAAGGAGACTCGAACCTACGAACCTTAGAACAAGGTACGCAGTGCTTTACCAATCTACCCACACTGGACAATACCTTGGCGTGTAGCTTGCGCTACACGTTTGAAAGCTGGCTGCCTTGGATCAAACGTGTAAGCTACAAGCTAAGGTATTGTCCAGTGTGGTTAGTTTGGGTAAAAGCACTGCGAAACCTTGTCCAAAGGGTTTCGTGGGTTCGAGTCTCCTTCAACAGAGTCAGTGTTTGTGTATATTTCGCCTGCTCTTGCGAATTCCTTGCTTATATATATAATATAATATATATATATATATATATATATATATATATAAAATATATATATATACAGAGAAAAGAGAGAGAGAGAGAGAGAGAGAGAGAGAGAGAGAGAGAGAGAGAGAGAGAAGGAGATAGACAGATAAATAGATATACAAGAAACACTTTCATTATTCACTCCATCATTATCTTGCCATAGTTCAAAAACTGTAACATAACTCCATCTTCCCTTCAGAACGTAGGCACTGTGCTTTCTGCCTTCGGGACCTGAGTCCGGTTAATCAGGTTCCTTGAATATCTTCATAAATGTTACCGTGCTCACACTCCAACAGCACGTCAAGTCATAAAAACCATTTGTCTCCACTCGCTCTTATTTACCACGTTCACGCACGCTTGTTGGAAGTCTAATCCCTCACACAAAAATACTCCTTTACCCCTTCCCTTCAACCTTTCCTAGGCCGTCCCCTATGCCGCCTTCCTTCTACAGAATTATATGCACTCCAAGTCATTAGATTTCGTTCCATTCTCTCTATATGTAGGTATGTATGTATACCTTGTAAATAGATCGTTACATTTAGAGAGCGGACGTAGGCTAGATCCACCTCCATTCCTCGAATTTCATGAATCACACGGATTTAACAGCCATCGCATGCTGCCTAGCAACAGTCCTTTGTTCTCTTCATATACAGTCCTTTGCTCACTGCCTAACAACAATCCCTGGCTCACTGCCTAATAATAGTTCCTCGCTCACTGTCTAGCAAAATCGCCTAGCATATTGCCTAGTAACAGCCCCTCGCTCATTACGTATCACCATCCCCTCGCTCACCCCCTAGCAACATTCCCATGCTCCTTGCCTGGCAACATCCCCTCTCTTACTAACTAGCGATATTTCCCTGGCTCACTGCCTACTAACCTCTGCTCACGCAGGAAAGCGTCACTTTTACTTACTCAAGCAACGTAAGCCATGAAAGTGAGAATACATATAAATTCTCCTCAGCTCATGTCTGTGAACACGAGGTTGTATGATGCGTGGTCATGAGTGCTGGAACTCATCTGCAACTCCAGAGAACAATAAACAACAACAATAACAGCAACAACAGCGATAATAATAATAATAATAATAGTAATAATAATATACACTCACCACGTTAATAATCTGCTGTAGTGTGAGGCCCAGCTTGACAACAATGGCAGACGACTCGTTGGCGGTGGGTCGTTCCAGCTTGTTGTAGTCCCTCAACAGGTCGTTGAGAAGTCTCCGCTCATGGTAGCCAGGTAGACATCCTGAAACAATGAAAAAAGTATATAAATACAGTGGACCCCCGGTTAACGATATTTTTTCACTCCAGAAGTATGTTCAGGTGCCAGTACTGACCGAATTTGTTCCCATAAGGAATATTGTGAAGTAGATTAGTCCATTTCAGACCCCCAAACATACACGTACAAACGCACTTACATAAATACACTTACATAATTGGTCGCATTCGGAGGTGATCGTTATGCGGGGGTCCACTGTATTGTTTTTTCTATCTATCTATCTATCTATCTATGTATATCTCTCTCTCTCTCTCTCTCTCTACATTTTTACATAATATATATATATATATATATATATATATATATATAATAAAAATATATATATATTATATATAATGTATGTGTGTGTGTGTGTGTGTGTGTGTGTGTGTGTGTGTGTGTGTGTGTGTGTGTGCGTGTGTGTGTGTGTGTGTACTCACCTATTTGTATCACCTATTTGTACTCACCTATTTGTGGTTCAGGGGTCGAGTCAACAGCTCCGGGCCCCGCCTCTTCGCTGATTGCTACTAGGTCCTTTTCTCTCCCTGCCCCATGAGCTCTGTCATACCTCGCCTTAAAACTATGTATGGTTCCCTGCCCCACCACATCACTTTCTGGGCTTTCCATGGCCTGACTACTCTATGACTGAAGAAATACTTTCCCAACATCCCTTTGATTCATCTGAGTCTTCAAATTCCAATTGTGACCCTGTGTCTGTGTCCCATCTCTGGAACACCCGTCTTTGTCCACCTCGTCAAATTTCCCCGCAGTATTTTTATATGTCGTTATCATGTCTCCCCTGACCCTCCTGGCCTCCAGTGTCGTCAGGCCGATTTCCCCCCAACCTTTCTTCATAGGACAACCCCCGTAGCTCTGGACTAGTCTTGTTGCAAACCTTTTCCCCTTTCTCTAATTTCTTGACGTGCTTTTACTAGGTGTGGATTCCAAAACTGGTGCTGCATACTCCAGTATGGGCCTGACGTAGATGGTGTACAGAGTCTTAAACGAATCCTTACTGAGGTATCGGAACGCTATCCGTAGGTTTGCCAGGCGCCGTATGCTGCAGCAGTTATCTGATTGATGTGCGCCCCAGGAGATATGCTCGGTGTTATACTCACCCCCCGATTTTTTTCCTTTAGTGAGGTTTGCAGTCTTTGGCCATCTAAACTATATTGTGTCTGCGGGCTTCTTTGCCCTTCCCCAATCTTCATGACTTTGATTTGCAGGGTTAAATTCAAGGAGCCAGTTGCTGGACCAGGCTTGTAGCCTGTCCAGATCTTTTGTAGTCCTGCCTGATCCTCGCCCATTCGATTCTTCTCATTAACTTCACATCGCTGCAAACAAGGACACTTCTGAGTCTATCCCTTCCGTTATGTCGTTCACGTATACCAAAAAACAGCACAGGTCCTAGGACTGACCCCTGTGGAACCCCGCTTTCACAGGCGCCCACTTTTGACACTCGTCGCGTACCATGACTCGTTGTTTCCTCCTGTCAGATATTCCTGATCCATTGCAATGCCTTTCCTGTTATGTGTGCCCGGTCCTCTAGCTTTTGCAGTAACCTCTTGTGAGGAACTGTGTCGAAAGCCTTCTTGCAGTCCAAAAATACGCAGTCGATCCACCCCTCTCTCTCTTGTCTTACTTCTGTCCCTTGTTCATAAAACTCTAGTAGGTTTGTGACACAGGATTTTCCTTCCTGAAACCGTGCTGGTTGTCAATTATACACTTGTTTTTTTTCCAGGTGCCCCACCACTCTCCTCCTGATGATCTTCTCCATGACCTTGCATACTATACACGTTAGGGGATACAGGTCTGTAGTTTAGTGCCTCATGTCTGTCTCCCTTTTTAAAAAATTGGGACTACATTTGCCATTTTCCATACCTCAGGGAGTTGCCCAGTTTCAATGATGTGTTTAAGATCTTTGTTAATGGCTCACACAATATCTCTGCTCCCTCTTTAAGGACCCATGGAGAGAGTTGTCTGGTCCCACCGCCTTTTAGGTGTCAAGTTCGCATAGCAGCTTTTTCACCTCCTCCTTGGTTATATGTACCTCACCCGCACTTGCTGGTGTGCCCCCCTGTTCTGATTTCTTGGAGTCCTACTGGTTTCCACTGTAAATACCTCTTTAAATCTTGTGTTGAGCTCCTGACATACCTCTCGGGCGTTTCTTGTGAATTCCCATCACCCTTCCTCAGTCTGATTACCTGGTCCTTGACTGTTGTTTTCCTCCTGATGTGGCTGTACAACAGCTTCGGGTCAGTCTTTACTTTTGATGCTATGTCATTTTCATATTGTCTCTGAGCCTCCCTTCTTATCTGTGCATATTCTTTCTGGCTCTTCGGCTGATTTCTTTATTTTCCTGAGTTCTCTGTCTTCTGTACCTTTTCCATTCTCTATTACACCTAGTTTTTGCCTCCCTACACCTTTGGGTGAACCAAGGACTCGTTCTGTTCTTCCCATTATTTCTGTTTCCCTTGGGAACAAAAACCTCTCCTCTGCCTCCTTGCATTTTGTTGCTACATAGTCCATCATTTCTTGTACTGGTTTTTCCTGTCGTTTCCCCTCTCCACTGAATGTCTTGAAGGAAGTTCCTCATGCCTGAGTAGTTCCCCCTTTTGTAGTTTGGGTTTTTTCCCCGCCTATTCTGCTACTCTCTCCACTTGGAGCTCAACTATGTAGTCGAAGCACAGAAACCCCATGATCACTAGCTCCCCGGGGCCTTTCATACATGATACCCTCGATGGGCCGAACTAAATCATGGTGAATACAAGGTCAACCTTGCTTGGTTTATCCCCTCCTCTCTCTCTGGTAGTGTCTCTAACATGTTGATGCATGAGGTTCTCCAGTACCACATCCATCATCTTGGCTCTCCATGTTTCGGGACCCCCATGGGGCTCCAGGTTTTCCCAGTCAATCTCCTTGTGATTGAAATCACCCTAACTAGGGAACTTTGGGTCCCCCCATGTGTGCTCTCCTGGCCACCTCGGTAGTGTGTTGATCATTGCTCTGTTGCTCTCATCGTATTCTTCTCTTTGGCCTCCTGCAGTTCTGTGGTGGGTTGTACATTACTGCAAAATTTTCACCTTATGTCCCTCAGACTGGAATGTTCCTACTAAGTAGTCCCTTTCGCCCATGCCATCCATTCCTTCCATTTTCTCAAAACCCCACTGTTTTTAATGAGCAGTGCAAATCCTCCTCCCCCTCTCCTCCCTCTGTCTTTCCTGAAGATTTGAATATCCGGATGGAAAGATTGAATCTGTTTATTATTCTGGTGAGTTTTGTTTCTGTGAGTGCTATTATGTCTGGGGATGTCTCTTTGATTCTTTCGTGCCACTCCTCATACTTGTTTGTTATTCCATTGCATTTTGTATACCCACACCTTCAACTTCTTTTCTAAGACGTGGTCTGGGGAAATATATTGGGGTTGGGAAGTGGGAGACCTGGGAAGGACTATGGGTTGTTGCTGTGGGGGTGAAGTTTGTAATGTAGTGGGTGGTGGCATTGGATGTGGCATGGGTGTTTCGATTTAGAGTGTTTGGTTGCACTGGGGTTGACCTGGTTGGGAGGCTTCTATAGAAAGTTGTGAGGGAGGCTGTATTAGATCTTCTTCCTGGGTCTGGGATCTCCTGTCTGTCTTCTCCATCCCCTCTCTTTCCTCCTTTCGCCTTTGTACCATCTCTCTCAGTTTCTTCCTTTCTTCTTGTGTTCTGTCGCTGTCGAGATACACCCTCCTGTGTGTGTGTGTGTGTGTGTGTGTGTGTGTGTGTGTGCGCTCACCTAGTTGTGCGTACCAAGTTGTGATTGCAGGGGTCGAGTCTCAGCTCCTCGCCCCGCCACTCCACTGGCGGCTATTCAGTAACTCTATCCGCTCTGCGATCTTTATCATACCTCTCCTTAAAGCTATGTATAGATCCTGCCTCCACTACATCACTTCCCACGCTATTTCACTTCCTGACAGCTCTGTGACTGACGAAATAATGCTGACATCCCTGTGGTTTATCTGAGTCTTCAATTTCCAACTGTGACCCCCATGTTGCTGTATCCCATCTCTGGAACATCCTGTTTCTGTCGACCTTGTCTATTCCTCTCAATATTTTATATGTTGTTATCATGCACCCCCTATCTCTCCTGTCTTCCAGTGTCTTCCCTTAACCTCTCCTCGTAGGACATACCCCTTAGCTCCTGGGCTAGTCTTGTTGTAAACCCTTGCACTTTCTTTAGTTTCCTTACATGCTTGGCTAGGTGAGAGTTCCAAACTGGCTCTGCATACTCTAGAATAAGCCTAATGTACACAGTGTACATGGTCCAGAATGTCGTCTCATTAAGATGTGTGTGTGTGTGTGTGGATGTGTGTGTCTCACCTAACATATATATATATATATATATATATATATATATATATATATATATATAATATATATATATAAATATATATATATATATATATATATATATATATATATATATATATATATATTATATATTATATATATATATGCATATATATATATATATATATATATATATATATATATATATATATATATATATATATATATTTATATAATATATACATATATATATATTATATATAATATATATATATATATATATATATTATATATATATACATATATATATATATATATATTTATATATATGCATATATATATATATATATATATATATATATATATATATATATTTATATAATATATATATATATATATATATATATATATATATATATATATATATATATATATACTATATATATATATATATATATATATATATATATATATTATATATATATATATATATATATATATATATAATATATATATATATATATATATATGTATATATATATATATATATATATATATATATATATATATATATAAATATAATATATATATATATATAATATATATATATATATATATATATGTCGTGCCGAATAGGCAGAACTTGCGATCTTGGCT